TGTAAGTAGCTTTTTTGGGAGGGGGGGGGAGCCTGTCATAACTTGCTACAGTGATTATTTGTAAATCGAGGACTACCTGTATAATAGAAGGAAGAAAAGTGATTTGCAAGCCTTTTATAATACTTCCAGGGACGTGGTGGCTCAGTGGATAAGACGCTGAGCTTGTCAATCAGAAAGGTCGGTTCGAATCCCTAGCGCAGCGTAACGGAGTGAGCTCCCATCACTTGTCCTAGCTTTTGCCAACCTAGCAGTTCGAAAGCAGGTTAAAAATGCAAGTAGAAAAATAGGGACCACCTTTTGTGGGAAGGGAACAGCGTTCCGTGCTCCTTTGCCATTTAATCATGCCAGCCACATTACCATGGAGATGTCCTTGGACAACGCTGGCTCTTTGGCTTTGAAACGGAGATGAGCACTGCCCCCTAGAGTTGGGAACGACTAGCACATATGTGCAAGGGGAACCTTTACCTTTATAATTCTTCCAGATTCTCTTTTTGGGGGCCCATTTTACTCCGACTATCCAAAATCTAAAAACCCGAAGCAAAATAATAAATTTGGGCAAGGAAGTGTTAGCATCAAGCAAGTACGACTTCCTGTAACCCCATAATGGTCAAAAAGGTCAAGATGGCAGCCACAACACCATGAGGAAAGTGCCACTTATTTTTAACGCCGGACATTAAAGCAGACAAGCTATTGTTTTTCCTCCCAACCTATAAAAAATACCCCCCCCCTTTTTTTAAAAAAAGGCCAAAACTACATCTGTTCGATTCTGGTGAGGCACCTATTTATTGCTTTAGGCTTAAAAGTAAAAACACGCCTGTAAAACTGAGTGTTTATGCAATTTATCGGAGGCTGTTTTCACGATTAACGCTTGTTATGAGAAATGTCCAGGGTGTGTGCCAAAATCCAACAAACTTTACTGCTGCAGCTCCAAATATTATTGTTAAACCCACGCCCGTTTTTATGGATTCGTGAAGATTAAAAGCAGCTGAATAAAAAGTTTCAGGAGCCCTTAGCTTGCTATCACCTGCAACTGAGATGCTTTTGGGAAAGAGACAATGATGAAGCCAGTTTCCGATAGCTGAAGTGAGACTTTAGTTAGTTCGAGAACGGTAGAGATTTCCACTTTAGGTTTGGGAATGACCCCACTTAAAAGTGGGGTTCAATTGAATTTTCATGATGCTGGGACAGTAAAGCCATGGAAAATGGACTTCTCAGCTGGATATCTACTGACAAAAAGGGGGCCAATCTGCAATTTCCACTACTGGTTCAGGTGAACTAGTCCAAACCGGCTGAATGCCACCTCAATGTGTATGAGCTTTGCTCGCGCATGCACTTTCCGGTGGGGGTGGGTTCCTGCCAGTTCTAGCCTCTTCTATAGAAGAGGTTCTACAAATCTACAGTGCTGTTTAGAACCGCTTCCAGCTCCCTCCCCCCGCCCGTCCACACATCATCAACATGAAGAGCGGGAGGAAGAATTCTGGGAGTTGAAGTCCGGACATCTTCAAGTTACCAAGGTTGAGAAACACTGTTCTAGAGAAACACTTCCCTGTTCTTTTATTCTCTCCTTTTCAACTGAAGCGACCGGGTTCCAAGCCAGCAAATTGCTCCTTGTAAACCTGGAACTTTGCCACTGAATCACTAACTTCTTCCTTCCCCAAAGACTGAATTTGGTCTCTTGTGCTGATCTCTGCACTCCTAAG